GCTCTGAAACGCGTGAGGCTCGTCCGACACCAGATTCACCTGAATGTGTAAATAACCTGGAGGCACAGAGGATTCATGCCATTACCACCTGGAGATAATTCAATGCATTCTGCCAGGATATCAGACTATCGGGAATAAAACTCTTTCATTTTCCAGATCAGTTCATTATCTCACGATTTAGTGAATAACTCCCTGCATCAATGTTTATTTTTGCTCTCTCCCATATCAGTTCTTGGAGCTGAGAGCAGCCCCGGCAATCCTCTATTAGCAGTAAATGAGGATTATATCAATTCTTAGTTAAGACATCAGGTTACAATGTATCCAGACTCTCTGACACGTTCCTTCTAAGGCTTCACAGCATTGAAACAGTTAACAGGACTCTTTGTGTGAACTTTTCCATTAAAAAGGCAAACTAAATCCCCGTCATCGCAGGGTTTGCGTCTATTTACACATATTCTCATATTTTCCATTTTCGAAAGGGAGAGAACACACCCCACACACAAATATGGCTCCCGGAATCTCATTAAATGATATCATAAAAACATTCATTACCTATTGCACAACGTTTGCTCAATAAATCATGGAAATTTTTATTTCATAATAAGGCAAAGAAAGTGGGATATACATTAGAGGGGACCAGGACAGTGTCAGCTCATTGAAGTGGTCTGGGTGCAATGTCCCTGTTCCACTTAGTCCTGCAATGTAAATCTCTACAGGTTTAAAGAAACAGCAATAATTACCTTGCAGGACTAAGACTGCCTCTTGTGGCTGTCAATCAGGCAGCTACTAAAGGCACTTCCTGGTTGTTAAGTGATTTTTGTTCGCCTAACTGATGCTGGATGCAGAGCATGAGGACATCCAGCATCAGTTAAATCCCTATAGCAAAGCATTAAAGCTCATGGCAGTAGCCATCGGATGACATCAGGCGGAACGCCAACCCAGCGCCAAGGTGCACAGTGCTCTAAAAATGGTCTAAAGCAGGGGTGCCCAAAAGAGAGATCCCCAGATGTTTTAAAACTACGGCGTCCATGATGCTTTGTCATTTTAAAGGCTAACTAAAGCCATGTAAAGCATCATGGGAGTTGTTGTTCTACAAGATCTGGGAATTGGCCTTTTGGGCAGCCCTGGTCTAAAGTACTAGTGTTGCAGTCACCATGGTGACCAGCAGACACATTCCTTTAGTGCTTTTGGCAAACTTTTTTAGAAGAGAGAACTTACATCTCCCCAGTTGCTTCTGTTTCTCCTCCTCTCTGTATGCTCTCTCTATATACTGACTGACAGGTGTAAAGGGCGGAGCTTATAACAATGATTGAC